AATCATTAAACTAGTGAAATAAATATAAACCAACATATCTATTAGGTTTAACCATTGTAAAATAAAAAGAAAAAAGGATTTTTTTTTCTAAAATTCATTATTATAAAATCGTGCATGAAGTTTATTTTATTCAGAAAAAAAAATCTCGATTATTTATTCACGTATAAAAATGACAACGATAAAATAATCATTTTTTTGTTCATGCTTCACCGAAGAAAATGTTTATTCATCTTTTTTTTTCTTTATTCTAGTCTTAAAAAAAAATATGTTAATAAACTTACATTGAGTTCATTAAATAAATTCTTTTCTAAATAATCTTTAATAAAATTAAATGAATATTTTGATTCGAATTGAATACTAATTGGTGTTCGATTCATTTCTTTTTTCTTCGTTTTCTATAGCACAAAAAAAAAAAAATAATAATAAGACAATAAGAATTCAACAATAAAAAAATTAATTTTCTATTTAAATACTTGTAATCCTTTAAATGCTTCTCGAGATTGACATTGTTCAGGAAAATGTAATGTTTCATCGAATGTCCATGCAATAGCCCAACGCATAGTATTTCCTTGACATAATTCTGTATCAATATGACGAATATCTTGTAAATACTTTTGAATTTGTTTTAAACTTGATTTTTTACCCAATTGACTTGTAAAAATTCTAGAAAAAAAATATTGATTTTTCATTAAATAAACTGCGTTCTCGATTAACAAACTTACTAAACAATTATTTCTACCTGACATTAGTTGCATATGATCGACTTTCATTAATCATACGTTTAACAAATTCAACTTCACCACCTTGATCATATATTGATTCAATATTAGCAGCTGTATTAATTGAATTAGCTGATGGACGATTCAATTTTCTTGTATTTGTTATACCTTGACATTCAAATGTATCAGAAAAGAACGGTGGATTACACATAAGAAAATCATAATGATTTGTTTGATCAATTAAACCATCAAATAATGCTGATGAATTCATTAATATAACTAAAAATAAAACTCTTCTTCTCAAAATGAAACAAAAAAAAAGGTGTTATCGCAATCTCTATAGGATTAAAATGTGATACACAATGTAGTTACTATTGCTAATTACAAAGAGATTATTTTTACTCGATCTATTTTTGGGGACACATTTCTTCACCATCCTTTCGTTTAATCCTTCAGAAATACAAGAAGAAAGGATAGTTTATATATGATAACTAAATGTTGTTAATATACGATCTGTGATTGTATATTAATAGTGTCCACCACGTGTATGTGTAATGCTTCGCTGTTTACGAAATAACCTCTTAGGCCTGCTTCCTATCGATTTCAATGATTTTTTGCCTATAGTAGTCTAATAAAAACCGCAAAAAAGATTTGAGTTCCTATTGAGATTTGACTAAACTATCAAATTTTTAATATGTCTGTTTTCGAGAAACTTCAGACTTTTCGGAACACTCGTGTTTTTAGATTTGGATCTGAAACATTGTGCATATAGAACTGAACTAGATCAATGTCCATTTCAAAAAAAAAGCGGATAGGAATTTTAATAATAACTTCTGATGGCTTTGTTTAGAAACTAACGTATCCTGTGAGTTGACTATAGTAAATTTTCAATGATCAGGCGTGTAACTGAATCGTCTATGGAAGATTGACAAAACTACTCAAGCTGCAGATTTTTAGATTTAACTATTCACGAGTAATAGGTATTCTAGTCAAAGCTCTCGACTAATTTTTCAAGCAATTGCTGTAAAAACAATCATATTTTTACTTTTTTTCTTATGTTAAAATGAACCGTCTTTCCGACAATTTTTTTAAAATAAATTTAATTGAAAAAACTTCACAAAACATCTTAGATGAACCTGTAATATATGATTTGATGCGAAATTCTTCTCCTCTGTTCAATAGTGAAAATCGCATCGTTCTATCTTGTTTCCATCAAAAGTTATTCAAAAAAATATTCACCTGCCCTTTTTTTTTGAAATGGAAAATAGCTTCTTTGAAAAAGTTCGATAGTTTTCAAAAAAGCCTCTTCAAGATATGAAACTTTCAAAAAAAAGTGTATGTTCTATACATTATCCATTGAAAAGCATCTTTATCTTGAAAGCCTCATATCTCGGAGAGACTTTTTTCAAAACTTCTGAATTTTTTTTTATGAAAGTTACTCTAGTTGAGTTCTCTATATGGGGAAAGTTCCAGATCAAAATTCTGAAATACGAATTCTCCGAAAACTCGAGACTTCTAGAAAATAGGCACATTAAAAATTCGATAGTTTAATTAAATCTCAGTAGAAATCCAAATTCTTTTAGATTTTTTATTAGAAACACGATGTAGATGTATAGACAAAAAAAATCATGAAATCGGAAGGGAATACCTGAAGACGTCTCCTCATTAGATGTGTCTGTCGGGGACACCAAATCAGTAAGATATTGATTTCTGTTTTTTTTACCATGAATTTGATCTTGTAATCCATTTTGTTCAACATTTTTCATGGCCATACGATAATTAAATGGATCAATTTCAGAGACAAACATTTTCCATTGAGGATTAAGACGAATTGCTAAAAGAGCATGAATACATGAACAACCACAACCTTAAATATAAATTAATAAAATAATTTTTACATTTTCATTAAAGAATATTTCGTTTTAATACCAATATCGATTCCAATTGCATCAATTTTACGTTCGATTAAATCTTCAATCCAATGAAGATAATTTAATTTTTGTGGAATTCTCGGTATAAGACGATCTATAATTTTGATAACGAAAAACAAAACAAGGAAAAGAAAACAATATTAAATAACAATCAGAAAAAAATTCTTCTACCTAAACTAAGTTCTAAATTTAAATTAAAATCTTCTTTAGCTGTTGCTATTGTTAATGCTCGAACAGCATTAGGATCACAAAAATCTAGTGTCACACCACCATTTGTTTTTTCAATTAAAAAAGATTTTAATGCTGGATGTTTTTCAGCAAGTTGTTTAAAATCAACGGGATTTGTTCGATAACGATTTCGTATATGCATATATTCATTAAACGACATCTAAAAGATATGATTTATTGAAATTATTTTTATATCATTTATTATATTGGAGATAAATCTTTCGTTATAATTATCAAATATTTTATTTAAAATAGGAAAAATAAACTATAGATGTTGAATCAACTTTTTATTCGTTATATTTTTCCTTGTTATAAAAAAGAAAAACTTCAAGGAATACATATGAAAAAAATAAGTGACTTAAACACGTTCAATTAATAATGAAATACCTTGACCACCACCAATACAAGCAGCACCAACAGCATATTTTCCTTGACGTCGTTTTAATTCATAGACAAGATTTGCTGTTATGCGTGTACCTGATGCACCTAATGGGTGACCAAGTGCAATAGCACCACCATTAACATTAGTATTTTCATTTGATAATTTTAAAGCTTTTTGACAAGAAAGAATTTGTGGTGCAAAAGCTTCATTTATATCAAACAAATCAATATTTGATATTTGTTTTTGTGATTTTTTTAATAAATTTTCAATCGCTGGTACAGGACCAAAACCCATTATTGATGGATCAACTCCACTAACATGATAAGCTACTAATCGAGCTAATGGTTTAAGATTATGTTTTTTTAATGCTTCTTCATTACAAATAATAACAGCAGCAGCACCATCACATATACCACTAGCATTACCAGCTGAAACTGTTCCTTTATCTTTAATAAATACAGCTGGTAATTTTGAAAGTTGTTCTATACTTGATTGTGGACGTGGATGTTCATCTGTATCAAAAATTTCATCGGCTCCTTTTTTTCCTTTAGTTTTTATTGGTTCAATTTCATCTTTAAAACCACCTTGATCATTTGCTTTTTTCCAACGTTGCTGAGATTGTAATGCATATTGATCAGCATCTTGACGTGTAATATTATATTTTTTTGCTAAATTTTCCGCTAAATTCAAAATAAAAGAATAAAAATCAATATATTTCTTTTTCTTTTTGAAATTACCTGTTATACCCATTGGTGTTTTAATATGTTCATCAGTTAAACCTTGCCAAAGAGTATCTTCAAGTTTTAAATCTTGTCCTAATTTTGTTCCAAATCGAATATTTCGTACTGCATATGGAGCTTGTGACATATTTTCTGTACCGCCACATAATACAATATTTGAATCACCTAATTCAATTTCTTGTCCACCAGATACAATCGATTGAAAACCTGATCCACAAAGACGATTAACTGTTAATGCAGGAGCATGATTTGGTACACCAGCACGTAAGGCAGCATGACGAGCTATATAAGCAGCATCTGATGATGATTGCATTACATTTCCAACAACCGTACTATCAATAAGTTCAGGTGATAAATTTGCTTGTTTTAAAGCAGCACGACTAGCTAATTCTTGTAAATGTGTAGCTGTAAAATCTTTTAATTTACCACCATATGTACCAAATGGAGTACGACGTGCTGCAACAATGTATATAGCTCGTTTGAAGACCATAATGTTTAATTTGTTTTTTTTTTATTAGAATATCCTATGGATATCTCTAGATTTACTTTATAAAAAATAATCTAGTAAGGTAATAATGACCTTTGTGCTTACATCACATCACCATCATCATTACATAGCATCCAATCCATTAACTACCATACTCTAATTTGTAATTTGTACGTTTTATTTATCGAATAGAAAGCAAAAAAAATATAGAATTTATGACAGCGACTAGCGACCTCAATCTTAAAATTGTTAGATTTGCTAAAAATCTAAGGTCATAAATTATAATAGTAAAGGATATGAGATGAATATCAAGTTAGAAAAAAAAAACATATTGTTAAATTTGTTAAGAAGAAAAACCTAGCTAGAACAAATCTATATTCGACTTCAATCGAGATAGGTTTTTTTATTTTTAGAAATATTACATATTTTTCTGATAATGATTATTAGAAATATATTTAATTTTTATTTGAAAACATATGACAATAACTATTAAAATTGTTCATAATTAAAAAATTAGAATCGTTCAACTAATAATGTTTTTTGAATATTATTTATTTCCATCGTAGATTCAGTTGTCTCCATTGCTAAATTTTGTATATCATGACATAAATCTAACCATTCAATATCTTGATTTGAACATGTACATGTCAATATATCAATACATTTTATCCACCATTTATTTTGATTCGATAGTATTGCTGATTGTATTTGTTTGATATTAGTAATATCTGTAAGATTTATGATTTTACTCTTTTCTTTGCCAGTTGATGTTTTTCTCGAAAATAATGTTGGTGTTTTAATGATACGTATAATTAAACGCATATTAGTAACAGTTGTTGTTCGTGAACTAAAACAACAAAAACCTAATTTATAAGTATATTCAAATAGAATATATTCATTAGGCAGTAATGTAAATATTGAATTTGTTGATTTAGGTTGCTGCATTATTGGATGAATAGATATGTTACTAGGGATAAAAAATACCTATATAGAAGAATAATATCAAATATATTCAATTTTGTTTGAAACAAGATAAAAAAAAGAATGATAAATAGATTTTCTGGTATTTACATTCTGTCACGTATATTATGAAACAGTTGCTTTTTATCTTTACTGGCGAGTGTTATTCTTATATTTTAAATCGTAATTTCCTTATTATATATATATGCATTCTAGCAAGGCAAAAATTAATGCTCAACTTACGAATACAAGGTAAAAATGAATGAAAAATTGTATGTACTTAAGAATGGATAAGATTGATTGTAGAAGAAAACGAAAAAACATCACCATCTATTGTTCTATCTGAAAATCGACATTTAACAAAATATATTTCATCATTAACTTCTTCTAGAACATCAATTGTACATCAATATAGTTCTAATCAAATCTCTGAAGATACATTCAATGAAAATAATAAACAATTTGAACGATTATCTCTTTACTATCATTTAACATTGCCGCTGCATCGATAAGTTCATCATGAAAATCAATATAATAAGCATATAAAAAAACCTATATAGAATCTTTTGATAAAAAGAATAATATTTCAATTAATACACAACCAACTAATTGTAAGTTTAATACGAGAAAATTATTATTTACAAAAAAGAAAACTTTTCTTAAGTTTTTCAAATAAATTCCGATGAAAAATATTGTCATGAATTATTTAATCAAATATCAACACTTTGGTTTGGTTCAAATTATGAACGACGACAAGTATTTGATTTACTGAGACAAAATCAAATTAAATGTACAATGCTACCAGAATTTATAGCATATTTAACTCATTCACTTTCAAAATATGCTATTGATATACATGATATATCAATACGTAAAACAATGTTATATGAAGTATTAGAATTAAGTAAAATAGCATTAAAATCTAATGAAAATTGTGCATTATGTCATTTTTCATATGGACATATTATTGGAGTTTTATTAGATATAAATTATTTTTCATTAAAAGATAAATTAAATGAAACATCTTTATTTAAATATCATATGGAAAAAAACAATTGAATTTGATCAAAATTTTTATGAAGCATACTCTTATTTAGGTAGATATGAATATATAGCATTTAATTCAAATTTATTTGAACGTAAAACAGCATCAATATTAGATTATACAATTGAAGGGGATTTAGATAAAGCATTAGAATATTTTCATATTGCCATAAAGGATAATTATGATATGATACATATAGTTTATTTATTAATGGGAAAAATTTATCAAAAGAAAAAACAATATATCGAAGCAAAAAAATTTTTAAATATGTGTATAGAAATTCCAATTCAACGAAAAAGTCAAACTAATATTGTAGATAATGCGAAAATTTTATTAAAAGATAAAAAAATTGATAACTTATTGTTTCGATCTTTCATTTATCATTCAAAAAAAAAGTAGAATCTATTTTCATTTATTAAGTTAGAAATCCTATTAAGATTGATGTGTTCGATCAGAATATTGAATAGCTTCTTCAACTAATTCTATTTAATCATAAGTAACAAATTTAGTCAAACAACCAAAACAAAACTTCTTATATACGATCATAACATTGATCATAAACTTGAGAACATATATATCGACTGAATCGAAAACTTTCAGTTCATAATTACATTAAACATACTAATTGTAATTATTATTTATTATTCAGAAATAGAAGAATTCAACATACAGTAAAATTTCAACATTATGAATACTATTGAGACCAACGAAAATCGTCCAATATAACAGAATGTTCATAAAAGAGATTGGGGAAACAAGTAAATATATGAGTTGTATCACTTTCTACGTCCTATTTGGAGTCTTTTATGAAATAGTTTTTCACTTTTAGGACTTCAATTTTTTTTTAACTAGATGAATTTCAAATATCACGTCCAGATTCTGATTAATCAGGTTTCAACACTATTATTGATAGTTTTGACTGAAATCATAATATATTTTGTGCTTCATCTTTTTGTTTAGATTCTTTTCATAATCAGTAATATATTCATTTTTTGTTTTAAGTATATTTAACACAGCACTGATGAAACATTTAAAGTTTATTGCTTAATTCATGATGACATAAAACATGTTTTTTACCTTTGATTAAATTCGTTTTTTTATTTGTTCTAAATCAAGAGAATTGCAAGGTACCATTACTGATGGACAAAGATTGAGAAACCGTTCAAAAAGATAACAATATCTGTTTGTCCATTCTTTTTTGTTTTCATTGAATTAAATTATAGAGCCAATTAATTTTCTTTGATAATCATCTCCACAGCAGAGATGTGCACAGGGTGGCTTTTTCGCACTCTACCTTGCTGAATTGACAAGCTGTCTATATTGTAATTTCCAATGTAGTTCAAAAGAAAAAAAACCGTTTTCTTTTCATTGTATCATAGAACATTGTTTTATTCGAATCCATTTAACAATAATAGTAACTTATAGTTCAACTAATAAAATACATGAGTATCAAAAAAAAAGGAAAGGAAATGATATAATAGATATAACTTAGATTCGTAGGCATTGCTATAGAGAACTTCATTTGAAATAATATTCAAAAAGCACAACAACAGAAAGTAAGATAACTACTATGAGTAAGAAGAAAACTATCAGAAAAAAATAAATAATTTATTTCTTATATAAATGCTTTTCTGCTGATCTTACGAATAAAATGTTTTCTAAATTATTTAGTTGAAGATTTGTTGTTTTTCTTTCATTTAGAATTCAATTAGTAATGGAAAATTTTCTTTCTACATTTGTTGTTGTTGTTGCAGGAATTGATAAGATTGATCGAGCATATTTTGAAAGAAATGAAAAATTTTTTATAATGATTTTTACAAAATCTAAAAGTTTTATTGCCTTCTTTTTTCTTATCAAACTCAAACAAGAGACATTGATTAAGTTTCCTATCTTTTCTTATACTATAATCATATTCTTCATTTTCCAAAGGCATCGATTTGCATGTTTGACAAAGTACTTTGTTCCACTTGCAGGCCCATAACGAAACGTATAATAAAATTCGAAACAGCTAATGAAATCCTTAATACATTCAAAATCATTTCTCTTATTTTTAACAACTACATATAAAAAAAAAGAACGCCATCAAGGCGCTAATACTTTTGTTGAACTATTATTTTCAAGACTAACATTTTGGTCTTTTTCTTTGAACAACAATTGTTTTAATTATTTAGCATTATAAAAATTTGAACAAGATAAAGTAGAATGATTGGCAAGGCAAGATGAAGACGTATTAGATGTAGCAATAAAATCAGGATTAGATATTTGGCAAATATTATCATCCGAATCAAATGACATAGAACTGTTAACTTAAAGTTTTGCTTTAATCTGCTAAAAACACGAGAATAAGAAATACCAACACAACACTTCAATAGTCATTTTATTTATTAATTAAATCCTACCTTGTTCATTCGGACGTAGGTCTATAGAAAAAAACTTTAAATACCAGTTGGTATCATCCTCAACAGTCTATTTTTGATTTTTGACTCTCAAAGACTGAAAAGAAAAACGCTCTTTTTCAGGATCGAAATTCGAAAATCTGATCTTCCAGTTTGCAGGGTATAGGACCTTGCTCTGTCATGCTCAAGACAGAACAAAAATGGCTTTTTTTACCCGACTCTGTGGACATTTCTACTTTATAGCTTCAATCATATAATTTATTCAAGTGGCGTTTTATATTGATGTTCACATTCAGAATCAAGAGGTGTTCATAAATGAACGATGCAAAACCAGAAAAATTCGCTTGGAGAGAATCGGAGAGTGTTCGGTACAACAGAATGTCCACTAAGAGAGATTTTACTGTATCAACAACTATAATTGTTGTAATCATTCATACACAAACTCTTTGTGATTAATTATGTTTTTTTATATTAATAAAGATTTCAAGACTGTATACTAGATATAACTATGGATGCACCGAGACCGAATAGAGACTCTTGATTCCAGTCGTCTCCATCTCGGTCGTCTCGACCGAAAAACTGCAAAAATAATAATTTCAACCGAAATTGAATGCCACGCTTACCTGTGATAAAGAACGAGATCGAGAGGCTCAGTACGTCCCTAGATATAATCGATCCCATACAGAATAGAACAAAAACAATCACACTAAATTATCGCTATTTTTCAAATACTTAATTTGTTAAATACTCATACATGGTGATCTAACTATTCGTCACAGGTGTGTGCATATTGGTGTCGGTGTGAGTGAGTATCTTTTATATACCCTCACCGACACTTTAATTCACACATCCACCCACCATCGATGTTCTTTCAAGATATGTTAAGACTAACATATCATGCGACTGATTGTCCTAGCATGTTCGTATATTTATCGGAATTTTAATTATCATTTTGTTTGTTTCAAGCAATAAAACAGTTAATAATTATAACTATGAAAATATTAGAATTCTTTTCTTACATTATTAGATTAGATAATCAAATTTTAGATTTGAAGAGAATCATGGTAAATCTGTTTTTGAGAAACAAACGAAAACAAATCTTACTGTTATCTATCTATAATTCAATTAAATAACTATTCTTGTATTTAATATCGATTCATTGTTTGAATAATGTTTCCTTTGAAAACTCATACTTTTTCAATCCAATAAATAACAAATAACGAATGGTACAAAAGTTTTTCATTAATATATTTTTTGCTGCTGCTCTGCGAAGAAGCATCGTTAAAGCTTCATTTATTTGTTTATTTATTTGGTAGAAAGAGCATAGTCTGAGGGACATATACATATACTTTTCAATGCCTATTTGTGTTTTTTTTTCTTTAGATGAAAAAGAATACAAAAGAGAAGCCATAAGATTACATGTTCCAATTTCCTGGGAAGACGCTGTTGGCGGCAACCTAAAAACCACCTGTAATTTTTTTAAGAAAAATGGTTATAATTATTCAACCATATATCCAATTGTGCAACGATACAAACAATTTAAATCAACAAGCGATTTACCAAGACCTGGTCGTCCATGTGAGGGTGGGTGCCAGAAGAGAATAATAACATCCACACCCTAGTTTATATGGACAACCAATTCTTGGTAAATCTTTTGTTGTTTTAAATTGTTTGTATCTTTAGATAATTCAATATATGGTTCAACAATTATAGCCTTTTTTCTTAAAAAAATGACAGGTGGTTTTTAAGCTGCCGCCAACAGCGTCTTCCTAGGGAATTGAAACATGTAATCTTATGGCTTTTCTTTCGTGTCCTTTTTCATCTGAAGAAAAAAAACACAAATAGGCATTGAAAAGTATATGTATATGTTCCTTAGACTATGCTCTTTCTATCAAAAAAGAAAAATAATAAAACTTTAACGATGCTTCTTTGCAGAGTGGCAGCAAAAACGAAATTAATGCAAAACTTTTGTACCACTTGTGATATAGCTTGCTTATATATTCTTTTATGCTTGCTTCAAAAATTGGATTATCGGTAACTTTATTGTGCAATTAGTACAAAAAAACCATATAGTTTGGTCAGCAACAAGATATGTTAGCACAATTTTATCACAAAAAAAAAGCCTGTTAGCGCAGCCTCTTTGGGGCTGAAATGTGGAACTCACATATGTTCTCTAGCTTCATTAAACTAATAAAAAATACCTAAAGTGAAAAATCTCTTGTAAACTATAGTTGTTTTGCAGGGTAATCGAACATCAAAACAAGAGTCTTTGTAATTTTTGCATTTCGAACAGAAATTTTTTTATTTTTTCTGTGGGCATCCTATTTCTTGTTTACATTGTTGGTATTTGCTCGCTATTTTTCATTTTTCTTAATTTAACATTCTTATTATTATAACTATTGAATTAATTGGTAAATACATCTGTTTTACATATCCATTATATCTACAGCGGATCTTACACACTATTATATATATTAAGCAATTAACAAACAATGATGTTGATGATTTTTCAAAATTATAACTTGATCAATTTTGCAAAAAAACTATAGAAAGTCTGACGCCTGTTACTGTCGATTGCTAAGGTCTGTAATGGGGGAGGGGAGGGAGAGTATCTCTAG